CCAAGAGACAAAGCCAGTTCAGAACATTTGAAGGGCACGGTGGAGAGGATGGGGCAGAGAAGGAACAATAATGCCCAAGAAGAAAGCAGAATATTCACCTGGAGGAAGGAGCATCATTCTTTTGCCAATCTGATGAAGAATGAAAATCCTTTCTTTTCAAAGAAGAAAGTTACAAAGGGATGGACCTGAGCTGCTTGTGGAGCTCAGCTCTGAAGGGATCCAAGAGGCAATTACAAGCCTTTGGGAAGAACTTGGCATCGTGTGTTGACAGGGTTGCCATTAAATTATTAAAAGCAGAAGGAGGTAAACAAAGCCAAGGGCTGTTCAGAATAATTCTGTTGTTTTCAGATAGCTGAAAAAGTTTCAGAACCATGGAAGGTGGTTTTAAGAAATGCAATGTAAAAGCCAGTGGAGTGAGTGCCTGTGTTTTTGTGAAAGCCTAAAAAGCTTTCTCAGAAGGGTTTACATTTTTGGGGGGCTGTTTTTATGAGATTTTTGTTTGTTTATTTGTTTTTAATAAAGCAGGAACATTTCAGTAATACCAATTTGAATTCTGGAAAAAAAATTCTGCCAAATATTAAATAATCATGATACATTTGAAGATATATAACACTATATATACACTATATAACACTATATAACACGTCTAGATTTTAAGAAATCTTATACCACTATATTGTGGCCTTTGAGCCACATTGGAGGCATTTATAACTCCAAAGACATTTTTTAACAGGCACAGTCACAATTTGCAATGAAGAAGATGGAGCATGAAGAAGGTGTAAAATCTCTGGCCCATTTAATATAAATGAGGGATTAAGGCATGGAAATGCATTATCCCTGATATTCTTCAACATGGTTAAAATGTTACATTCAGTGACATTTTCAGACTACAGTGGACAAAATAGTGGAGAAAACCTTTGAGATCCTATGGTTTGGGCAACTGAAAATGAAGCAGAAGGTGCTGAATGAAAAATGGCTACTGGAAGAAGAAAAACAAAGAAGAAATAATATAGAATCAGATATCTACTAAGCCCAAATAATAAAAAACACCAGTAAATTGAATATACTACTAAAACATTTACCAAGAAAAGGAAAACGACATTGATAAGCAGAATCAAGAGCAAATTCTGTGAGCATTGTTACATGAAAAGTCACATAGTTTGAATATCTGCCAGCAAATAATTTGGTTTGGTTGCTGTTTTTTAAAATTGTGTCTGAAATTGTGGTATAAAAAACGAACACTTAGTGCTATGAAGTGAACCTGATACTAAAAAACTTAGTAACTAAAATATACTCAGCACTCTTAATAGTGACTGATATTTTTATATCAGTAAAGAGCTCTGAGCACTCTCTATACATTAATTAATTAATCTTAAATATTCCCATGTTATTAGTAAGAGTAATTCTATCATGCCTAAGTATTCAGTTTTCCTAAGTATTAGGAAACATTTTTTGGCCATATTTCTACAATCTTTTTAGAAGTAGAAACAAAATTACCTCTATTAATATATTTAAAAGATTTTTATACCTGACCATTTGGCTGTTAGTGCTATGGGAAGGGATGGGGAAGAGGAGGCTTGCAGGAGTATTGACAAATTTCATGTCTGAGAGGAAGCTTTAGGAAACAGATGATTTGTGTAGAGTTCTTTCATGAAAACATCCATGCTGGTTATCCTAAACATTATGTTCCAAAACTAGGTTTATTTTTTCTCAATTATATTTTATAACTGAATGTCTTAAGAGACCATCAGGACTTCACATGAAAAAATAAATTTTGCTTCATATTAACTCCTAAAAGTCATATAATAAAAATGACTTTTAGAAAATACTGACCTTAGAATAATTGTTAAAAAGACAAAGACCCTCAGGAGAATAAGATGCTTCTAAAATCTTTTAGGTCTTAAAGTGCATTTGTAGAGCTCCATCTTTTTTCTTGCTTCTTGTCTAATGAAAGATCTTTGAGAAAAAGGCATTTGCTAGAATTGGAAAATAGCACAGCTAAGCATTGTTTAGATAATAGCATAGAAAGAGAAACACTTATTGTTAAATGAGTAGCAATTCTGTCAAAATTCATATTCTTTCTATATTATTAATTCTGATCTTAGCATGTAAGAACTGCTACAGGAAAATATCCTAGAAAAGGAAGAACACAAAAGGCCAGGAGACACCTCACCTTCTGCACTCAGTCCTGGACATGCTGAAAATACTGATACCCAGTTGATAATAACTGATAACAAGTGATAGTTGATAACATTTTCTATACAGTGTTTCAAGCACACTTCTATATCCCCACTCAGAAGACAAACACATTTAAGATGTTATTTCTGTAGAAATGGCTGCTATTATGTACATAAATAGTCACTGAATTAGCCCTCATATTATTCAATATATTATGTGAGGAAACTGAGAGAATGTTCTGATTTAGATCAGCTGTGAAACCAATTGCATAATCCATTAAATAAATAAATATATATATATATGTATATATACACACACACACATATAGGCACACACACATATAGGCACACACACATACATACTCACATATGCTTTAAAAATAATTGTTTGGTTTTCCCATTGGTCTCACTCTTGCTTTCTCATTTTAGAAAAAGGCAGCTTTTAACACATCAGCAAGGGCACAGAAATGTTGTTTCAAGACACAGACATGACCAAGCCTGGGGTAATATTAGTCCCTTTTCAGCCTCACAATAAATTTCACAGTGATCTTAGAATTCCAACTATATGTACAAGATGATGATTTTCCAAATCAGAAATACCTGCAGCCATAGAAATGGCCACATGTGGCCATACAGGCAGTCATATAGAAATATAAACAACCCTTATGAAAGTAAAATTGCATTAAATAAGGAAAAGCTGAAAAAACCCATATGTATGGCCCTGAGTTATACAAGCCCAGATGCTGCAAGGACTTTTTTTGCCATCTTTGTCCTTTGTTGTTAGTATTTAATAAGGAAGTACAATTGAAGACAGCATGAGAAGTCCTGACCACCTGCAGACATCTCTGGGCTTGTTATTATCTGTGATAAGCACCTAAAAGAGCCTTGGAGATTCCACATTTTATTCTAGATCTGAAATAAGTATCAGCAAACTTCAGTTTTTCAGGTAATGCTGCACCTTAAAGAGTGGAAAAAATACAGTTAATTCATTTAATTTTCCCGAGTAATGTCAAACATTCTGAACAGGACAAGTTTGCTTATAAAAAAGAGGGATTGTAAATGACCTTTAACAGAGAAATTTTCTTTATTGTCAAGAAACCTTTCAGATGCTTTTTAAAAAACTGGTAATGAAATTAGGTACATAATGATTTTATATTTTATATGAATACTAGGAAAGTTACTATGCATGAAGATTGAACATCTGTTAAGTGATCCCAAACTAAAATTCTTACCATCAGGATTCCAGCCTCTACATTAAATTATTTAGAAAACAATTATTGCTGCAGATTTTACACATAACAAGTTCCACACTCCAATCTGAAATTGTCAAAATATTTTTGATTTGGGAAGATGAGAGGAAATTCTATGTATAAAAAGAGCAGTCAGCTATGAAAATTCTCAAATCAGATGAATTCAAATGTTCCTTAATGGTATATTCATACCTTAACATGTCAAGAATTTGACCATTATATTAAATAATTTCAAGTGGCAACATACAGATAACTTTTTTTTTTTTGTACAGGTAAACAAACATTTCATTACATTTCATAGGAATGTAATGAATGGAAGCAAATATTCTGAAGTGTGCAAATTCAATTTAAGTAGTTTCAGGATTTTATATATATATAGAAATACAAAGAGGAACTGAAGCACTAAACCCATGTTACCATGGACAGGCTATCTCATATTTGGAACAGTAATTTGCAGCACTGGATTTCCCTCGGCAGAATCCACGGACTGAGGAGGGGGAGGTTGAATCCTGACAATCAGAACTTCACTGGGGCTTACTTACCAGAACAGCACTTACTCATTTATTTTTCATCCAATATAAATCACATTAAGAGCAAAACAGGCCATTCAACATTTTCTGACTCTAAGAAAGGGTTCCAAAATTAAATTGGAGAATAGGGTTTAAAAAAAATATGGCCTTTTCTTCACACAATCATAATGGGACTGTTCATAAAACATCTCATCTGATGTACAGTAGTGGTTACCAAAAAAGTTTGCACTTGTCAATAACTAACAAAACGTAGTTATCAGACATTTATGCAATTTATACCTTCCAAAAAGAAAGCTTTGGTATAAGATGTGTTTGCAAACTTCTTGTTTTTAAGTGTAGCCATTATATAAGTATTTTTATTTACTTCATTATTATATTAATTTTCTAATTTGCATGCAATTAGAGATCCTGGGAGAAGAAAGATACTTCAGAAAAAAAATTCTCAGAGTGAAGGGAAATGCTGAATGATCCCATGACAAACATGCTTTTCTTGTACAGTAAAATAATATTTTTACCTGAAAACACAGTAAATTGGCTGATCACTACTTGCCAACCTTCAGTGTCACAATAAAATATCTTTCTCCCTTTAAAAGTCACACCTGATTTTCAAGTATTTTTCAAACTCTGGTTGAGATACAGAGGAATGTAATCCTGTATGAGTGAGCACAGTCAAAACTCTCCTACAGGACTGGATGGTCTTTGTGTGGATGAGGATTCCAGAACATTCACAAAACACACACTGCATATTTCTTATGTGAAATGCTTAGGTTGAGGATAATTCAGAGTTTGGAATATATTCCAGCCAAGTGGCTCTTTCTTTTTCCTAAATGTATGCATCATGTAAACCAGTCCCATCAGTTTATATTCACTTGAACAGATTAACTTTAAAACTGGCAGAAAGGGTGGTTTTCAAAGGACAATTTTTTCACTAGGCTAAGTAGCACTGGTTCAAAGTTCCCAACAGAACCTTTAAAAATGAATTTTTAAAGTTTTAGGTTATATGAGGTCAGAATAGGCAATAAAAGTCACAAGATTGTGATGGCATTATTTTAAGATAATAATCTTATTTTAAGATATGAAAATACTGAAACAATCATGCCAGTATAAGAAATTATTATACCATAATTCATAAGTGCATAATTTATCAAAACAATACAGCAGTCATGGTTAGATGCAACCTAATACTCCTGTACAAGATATAACTACATACTGTACAATTGTTCCTTTCTAATAATTACTTTTACATTTAGTCCTCATCCAAATTAAGCTGAGTATTTCTATGAATGAATGAATGGCTTTAGGAAATAAACACAACTCACAACAGGGCTTTATTACTGCTACTGCACCACCATGGCATGCAAGTAACTATGTAGTCAACTATAAACAGTAAAATGTCATCATCTTTCTGAAATAAAAAGAACATAAAAAATACAGATATAGTAGTAAAACATCAATTATCTTTTTATATCTTTCATATTTACCAAAAGTCTATCATTACATGAGACATTTATACCTCTGTATCACTCTCCTGTACTAGGATGGTGGCAAATTTGGAGTTGAGAAACTATACTTTTAACAAGCTTGTACAAAACTACTGGTTTCATGTTACACTCTGTCAGTGTGTAATGCATCAATGAGAATATGACACATCTGCTACCTGCCCCTCAGCGTTCTCTTACTCTTTTCTGTGTTCATGAATTTTGAGTAAATAAAAAGACCAAGGGCCATTGAAGGTGGTTGCCAGGTTATCTGTTGTGGTTACTGAGCTCCCAGAAAACTAAAGTCCTGCACAAAGGAAATTCTTGCATCTGCTTTTTGTTGTTGAGTACTGATTGTGTGAGGTTCCATACTGGCTGTGGGATTTGACAACTAATGCTGGAAGCAGGTTGGATTTTTAAACATTTATTTATTTATTTAGGGTAATTCCTTAACAGGTGCTAAAGTGACAAAGAGATGAAATTCTGCCATTGTGAGGAAAAAAAAATATATCCATACTTTATTATAAAAACAAGAGCCAAAGTGCCAACTGGGATGAATGCCTTCTGCTTACAGGTCAGGACAATATATAGATACTAGCAAATTTCAATATTGAAACAGGAGCAGGTTGAATAACAGCATGTTCAACTCTCCTTAGATTTGCAGTCTTGGGGACTTTCTTGGGAAAAAATATTGTAAAGCAGCTTTTCCATGCTCAATTAATTTTGCTGATCATTTAGCTGGCATGGAAGACCCTGTGTAAAATATCTCTAATTCAGGACAAAGTCTGAGGTACAGAAAAGAAAGCCCACTCATCACTGTTCTGCAGTCCAAATTATGTTTACAAGGTTTTTTTTTAATGTAAAGAAAAATGCTCAAGTCATAGTATTTAATAGAATTATCTTTCAAATATTACATGTGGTGTTCTTGGGATACAACTCTGCTTAAATTCAAAAGATGCCTACCTGTTCTGGGCAATGATAAAAAACACCTAAATTCTAATGATTCTCTTTAGCTCCTGCTTGCTGGAAAGAAAATTTAATGCCAATTACAAGGAAAGAACTGTACAATTCCCATTGTTACATTAAGCTATACAAAATTTTCTTTAGTTTCTTGGAATTTGCTCAGTTTTTCAATTATACAATTTGCTTCTACATTACAAAAAAAAAGTAAAGCTTTTCCTATTCTGTCCAAGGATTTTTCCCTCCTCTGATATGTTCAGGATTAAGAATACTCGGTATTTGATTTTGTATTTTGTTGATACCAGGATCCACTCTTTTTATTAAAGCTCATCAAGCATACTCATACCTACCACAAGTTAGTTCTGCTTTGGGGGATAAGCAGGCTGTGTGACTAAAACAGAGCACAGTACCTCATGTGTTCATTCATAGACTTGCCTCCATAAAAACTGAGGCTGTAGGATAGCTTTCAATGGAAGCCATTTAAAAAGAAAACATTACAGAATATACAATTGTAGTTTTTGACTCTCAGACACAAGTTCCTTGACGTGTTGAAAGGTGATGTTTTCGATTTCTGACTCCTGAACTCTTATCTTTACAGTCTGCAGGCTTCTGTTGTGAAATGTCTATCAGAGCACTTGCAATTGCAAGACCTGTAAGATAAAGGAAAAACAAAATTTAATGCTCAGCTTTCCTGAGAAGAATTCCAGATCAGTGTGATGGTTTCTTTCAAGCCAAGTTTATGTACTTTCCCAGAAGTGATCAGTTTTATTTCAAAGTCAGATAACAAGTTATCACTTTCTTAAATGCTACTTGGTAACAGTGAAAAACAGCAGAAGGAAAAAAGTACAGTCAAGACACAAGGCTGGAAATAAGGAGAATTGATTTCCATTTGTGTTTCTTATTGATTTGCTGTGTGATCTTAGCATGACCATTCTCTTGGTTATGTGGACCAGAAGCTTTCTGACATGAATTCTCTCATATGAAATGTATGTGCATTGCATACAGAAACTGCAAAACTGCAGCTAGGGTAACATTGTACCCCTGAATATTTGCCTTTGCCAAAAAAAAAAAAAAAAAAAAAAAAAAAAAAAAAAAAAAAAAAAAGCCTCTTTAATTAGGGAATATTCAGAAATTAATATTTACCACAAAAAGATATGAAAATATCTTTCTAGAAAGCACAGATATGTAAACAAGTAGTGAATCACGATGGACTGGGTAAATGCTAAATGCTTTCAACCCACCAACACTTTTCTGTTTTGGATTCTGATTAATTTGTTGCTATTTCATTACCTGTTGTAATGTTAACAGGGTATTGCCAAGGGCATAGACTGGCATGCTTAGGAACCATAGAAACACAGAATATTCTGTGTTGGAAAGGACCCACAAGGATCATCACCTCCTGCTTCTGGCCCAGAGCAGGACAATGCCAAGAATCCCACCATAGGCATTATCCACATCCTTCTTAACTCTTCCAATGCTGTGACCACTGCCCTGAGGAGCCTCTTCCAGTGCCAACCACCCTCCAGATGAAGAATTTTTTTCTAATACCCAGCCTAAACCTCTCCTGACACGAGCTCAGGCTGTTCCCTCGGGTGCTGTGGCTGATCACACAGGGCAGAGATCAGAGCCTGACCCTCCTCTTCCTCTCATGAAGAAGCTGTACCTGCAATGAGGTCTCCTCTCAGTCTCCTCCAGGCTGAACAGACCAAGTGACCTCATTCAGCTTTCCTTCTAGACCTAAGACACTAATATTTTAAGAATCTACTCTTCTATTTGCTTGCTACAGCATCCTTGCTAAAAATTACTAAAATACTGTCATTAACAACACACTTAATACATGGTAGTGCTAGGCTTTTAAATTCATACAGGTGATACTGCAATCAAATGGATTAAGAGTATCCACACCATTTATATGTTCTACTACAAACAAACCACAGAAAACACTCTCCAAGGAAACACTTGAAAATACTTTGATATTGGCTTGAGATAAGAAATAAAGACTGCCTGTTAAACATGGCTAAAAGTATTTTCAAAGGTTTCAAACTCAATTCATCTATAACACAGAATCCAATTTTGCAGTACTTTTCATGCAACCCCTCATTACAGCACTTATCTACTAAGAAACTGTGCAAAAATTATTTTTCACTAACAAGTGTTGCTACAGTCTTCTTTCATAATATAAAATACACGGTCAAATTCAGTTCAGGTTTCCAGAATCCTGAAAAAATCTATGCTATTGCACACTAGTAACATAAACTTCCTTAAGTCACAAAAAAAGTTGCAAGAATTGATTAATGTGCATCCAGCTTTTAAAAAATGCATGATACTGTAAAACACTAAGTAGAATTATCATTGATACATTTCGGGATATGTAAGAGCCAAGATTAATCAAGTTGTTTTTTCTCACATACACGAATATTTCCTGGCATGAGCCAGTGATGCTTAAAATTGGACTTTGACAAATCAAATTGATGAAATCTTTGAGGCACCTCTAAATTTTAAGCAGTATTTGGTATTAGCAAATTCAGGGATAAAAACTGAATAACATTTTGATGATTGCTTACATGTCAGCCCATCTTCAACAGCTAGGCTTAGGGACTATGCTAAACACAGGGAGTATTATTAGTAAACAGATTTTTAAATATAATAAGCTATTTTAAAATATATTTAGATGTATTAAGCTAACCTCACTTAATATAACAACCAACAAAAAGAAATCCTTAGGTCTAACACTGCATACTGGGATGTACTGGCATGTTGATAGAATTCCATTAAAAGCAGGTCACTACAGAAGATCATTTTTCAAAACATCACACAAATCATCTGATGAAATTCATTTATTATGTTCTCTACACCCAGCATAGTTCCTTGTTATCAAAGCAATACAATTAACTTGGGGAACAATTCATTATTTCAGACTGGCAGTCTAAAGGAATTTCATTTACCAAGTCAAGCTTGTGCACAGACACTTCGAGCAAGGAGAATTTACATCAAAATAAAACAGAAGAAAATGCTGTGGCCTAAATATTCATTAAAAAACAACAAAAAGAAACACCCCGAAACATTCCCTTGATGTTACAGATTTTTTATCTAAATAACAAATATGAATACATTTACAGTCATTGAAGTTGGAACTGTAAATTGTACAGTGCTCTAGATGCATTACCTCAACTCCGAAGTTATTACATTTACCCCACCTTCTCTGAATGCTGCTGTTTAAATATCCTACCTAACATCCAAACAGGTATTTTCCAAATCATGGTCTCTGTTTGCTTCTGACTCTTGAGCTGCATGGCAGGAATGAACAGTGGGATCAGTAAGGATCCCAAATGGAGACTCAACGGGTCACCTCTAATTTCTGGAAAATTCAATCTTAGTGGCAGAACCAGCCCTACTTTTAACTTTAGTTTGTTTTTTCTACTAAATGTTATAGAAATAACCTGACCTAGTTCTATGCAGCTCAAACAACCTCTAGCTTGCTTTAAGGATATGTATGCATAAGTCATTAAGAAGTGAGCCCAGTCAAATCATAAATGGAAAGTAAATTTTTGGAAGAGATAATTGCATCCACAATGAGGAAAACACCAGAGGAAGCAATATGAACTTGGTAATCTTTAGCAGAACTATTGTCTTTCCTAATGGAAGTTAAATGGTAACAGTTTATTTTCAGGAAGTCTCTAATCATAAAATTACTGGGGTGTGATTTTTTTCCTTTGTAATTTTTTTTACAATAGTACAAAACCATTTATAATTAGAGGGATAAAACATAGCAAATCAAATGAGATTACCTTGAAAAGCGCATTCACGGTTTATATACAAATAGCCCTTTAATCCTGCATTCAAACAAGAGCATCTGAAAAAGTCATTCATTCTGAGATGCTCTCCTCCCACCCTCTGTAAAAACAGGCAGTACTATATATTTTAATTTTGCAGCAAAACAGCTTCATTAGGCGTGAAAGGTTAATTGCAGGTTTAAGTGCAGTTCAGGGAACAGTGCACGGGTCTGTGGTGAATAGCACAGTCTGCTACAGGAAGGCTGAGTGCTATAAACTGTTTGCCCTGCTGAAATGTTTTACTACCTCATTTACTAACTGTCTTCTTTTACTGCTTGTATTTGTAGTTCTTCTAAACCTTTAATAGCTACAGTTTTATTTCACTGTAATCAGATTTAAATGGAAATACCCATGCTGGGATGTTTAAACATTTTTCCTCTGATTGTATACAACTACATTTGAACTGATGTAAGGCTACACTATCTCTAAAAGTAGAAAAAAAACCCCTACATTGAAAAAATTAGTCTTACATAATGGTGTGCATATTTAAAACCTTTTTTTCCTCCTCTATTGTTCAATTTAATGAGAAATGCATGGAATTCTTACTACCTCTTTTGTTAAAAGTAAGGGAACAAAGAATGACCTCAGATTAGTAGTTAGGTGGGTAACTGGAAATGTTTCCTTTCAATTTGAATATGCATTATTCAGACATAGCATTTGGATAGATGTCTTCATTTGATTAAATTTCTACACGTCATTGTTATGCAGAATTAGAACATTCAGAAACCTGAAGACAATAAAATAACTACGAGTCAGGTAGATCAATTAGATTTGTTTGACATTTTAACCAAAATTATAGTCATTGTTTAAGGTGACTTTAAGCAATGAAAATAAAATGCCAGCTGCTAGACAGAGAGACTTAAACAGAAAAGACTGGGTAAATACTATATTATTAAAGTCACAGCTTCACCCTTCAGTGCCCACAAGTCTTTGTGTTCCTTCCATCTGTCAATTCTTCTAGAGACTGGCATTACTGTACATGCTCACCCCATAGTGGACAGACTGCTTTTATCATAAAGGATCTCTTACTCAAAATATTGCCTTTGTGGAAGACTCACTGCCCATGGAAATCTGTAGAAATGGATCTGAGCTGTTTGAAGATACACTAAGTGATGAGAATCACAGACTGTGGTGCCTCATGAAAGTCACCCTATCCCACAGTGAAGCCAATGAAGCCAATTTCATGTTCATCAATAAAACCACCATTTATAATGTAGGGAATTTTAATAAATTCCATCATTTATTAACATTTCAAGTCTATAGAAACACTGTTTGATAAGTACACCATGTATATTGTGTGAATTAATGGTATATGCACATATATACAAAAATTATGCAATTATGTAAATTACATTATTATGCAATTATGTAATAATGTAATAATGTGAATTAAATATGCCATTATGTAACAATTATATATATATATACACATATTACATATATACAACCACCTCAGTTAATAATGAAGTTTTGTATTACCTACTTCTTAATTTGAAGAAACAGATCACATTCACCATAATGTTTATGAAATGCACAGGTTTATTCTCCACAGAAAAAAAATAAGTTCATTATAATGTCTATAACAGTGGAGGAACATAGCATTCTAGAAGGAAAATAACATTCTAGAAGATTGTTACTAGGCAGTGTTTCTGAGTACCATGGAAAAAAATTCTCTCACTTTCTATGAGATACTGTGCTAGAAATAGTCATATTCAATTTAGTTGTTTAGCAATAGTTTCACTATTTTCTGGTTGTTCCTGTGTTCTCAAACAAACAGTCTCCAAGCAGAACAACTCAGGCTTAATTTTCATGGCTGA